TACTCTAAAGTATGTCTGTTTGGTCCTCTGTCCTTTCCATGACCAGGCTTCAGGCAAAAAGATGGGTTAATAAGCTTGGCATAAATTTATATTTTTCAGTTGGATTGGCATGATATAAAAGTTAGCACTCTACACAGGAGACTTTAAAAATCTCTCTAAAGAAGATTTTTAAAAATCTAATATATTTGTGTTACACCAGAGACTAAGTTGGTAAATTGTAGATTATCATCATCTTGATAACCCAGACACAAAAGTCTGGCATAGGAGCAGTCCTTAAGTAGTTTTACTCTCGTTAGAACAAAGAAATGGGGATTAGTGAAACTGTGAATTAGGTCTAAAATCTTCCTGTACCATCAGCAGCTGATGTTAAAGTTTATCTCGGAGCAGAATGTGTAATTTTGAAATATGCCTGTTCTAACAAGCATTTTAAGGAGATGAATGATCACATTAGTGATTGTCTTTAGATGTAATTTATTTCCTTAACCTGATTTGATTTGAATTTTGACCTTTTAAGACTTCTGATCTAAATCCATTTAAGATGCTTCTGAAGGGCTTAAAAGACAATGAGAAGTCAGCAGCTTCCATATTAAAAATATATGAACTGTTCAGAATGAGGCATTTAATTCCCACAAAACCCATATCTTTAGGGCTACACAGTTTTTAGTCTACAGCAAAGCAAAAATTAATGGACATTTGAGGAGAAAATCAGCTGGGTCTCTGTCTTGTGCTGTGCTCACTTGCCTGTGCTATGTACTGCTTAGCCTTTTGCCCCTCTGTGGTTTTCAGTGTTGCTCTTGAGGATTATTCTACAGCCAAATTGGCTCAAGTATTAGGAAAATTTAGATTGATTATCAAGGAAATGGTCCTATCCTGTTTTGTCCTCTTGTTATTAGCAATAACATTTTAGACCCCCATACCAGCTCTTCTTCTCTTATCTTCTTTTATGTGGTGCATGAAGGTAATTTATCCTTAAAATTTGGTGGGGAGCAAAGCTTTAGATCTTCTGAACTACAGACTGTATCTGATAAAGGATGGCTTCTGTGATTATGAAACCAAGCATATAATGCCCATAATTTAGAAATCTACTGCTGTTCTGATTTATTTCCAGTCAGTTGAATTGTTCACATTAACTGTTGGAAGGTCAGGTTTTCACTAATTAGAACAGATGTGTGTCTTAAATTATCTATGGAGAATATGTAACAAAAGAAATTAATGGTAAAGATCTTCAATGTAGCACTATCATGTTTTCACTTTGGCAGTAATTTCAGAGGAAATGATGTGGTGTGTCTTCACTGTTTATACTGATACGACTATTACCCAGCATACTGGTATTTACAAACTCTTTGCACTGGTACCTGACTGCATCATTTTACTTGTAAGTCATTTACAGGGCATTTTCCTCTGTGTGTTTCAGCTTGTGAAGTGATGGGTAGCTGCTCACCCGCTTTCCATCATAGATGCTCCCTTTGTGCAGGACGAAATTCAGAATTTTATCTGATAGTACATTATACAGTAATTATTAATATATTCTTCAGCAAAATAATAGATCTTGTAGAAATAGTAATGTAGCAGTAGAATTAGCACAGTAGCAGAGCTTGAACAAATACACAGCCTTGAAGGAGTGTTATTTTTGAACATACCCAGCAATGCCAGCAAATGCAGATATCTTTGCTTTTACTCTGTGTACTACTGAAGGATAAGCAAAGCACAGTTTATTACTGCAAGGTTTCTCTTAAATCTAGTCTCAAGTGCTGTTTTTCCTGTTTCAGTGCACTGAATCTGCTTTCCTGCAGCAGAATTTCCTCTCAGTTACGGACAGACAGAGGAGAATAGATGAGTGGCTTCAGCCATAGGAGGCTCTGGAGACGTCTGGTTTTCCCTTGTATCATTTTTGTTCCACTCTGTCAAAAGTAGGACACATCTAGGGAAAGATGGTAGGGGAAGGAAACATCCAGACCTCCTGGCAGTTGTGTCTGTGTGAATCAGCAGGTTGGTTTGTGCTGATAGAGATGGATGCAAGATAATAAACCAAGTACGTCTTTGTTTACAGTAGCTTTTGAGAGAAAGCGTGAGACTCCTCTCTGAGGAGCTGCCGATCTGGCTGGGCAGAATGGAGGAACCAATTTCAACATCAAGATTTTTTAAAATGCTAATCAGCTTGTATTCATTACCAAACACCTGCAAATGAAAGTAGATTAACAGAAACTGAGCAATCCTGCGATCCAGCAGTGGTGCAGATGCAGAGTGGGCAGCTACGAAGGGCTGAGTGGGAGGTGGCAAGAGGATCACTGGGTGTTCAGAAATTAACCTTTCAAACACCATTTCCTTAACATGTAAGGAACTTCCAGTTTAAACATATGGATGGTTCTCCAGCACAGTTCAGTCTTCTATACGTCTTGTACTTGAGGCACAGCTCAAACTTGATTTAACCTGCACGCAGGGAGGAGTATGTAGAATGGTGGGGAAGCATCAGGGTAGACACTAACAGGGAATGATCTATGTCTCACACTCGTAACTTAGAAAGAGATGCTGAGCTGACCCATGAAAGAGCAAAGTGACAGAAGAAGGAACCTGGGGTGATGCTTAGAAGCAAGATGAAGAAGTGGCAAGCATGGCAGCAGTACTTTTGGCTGCGAAAAGGTGAAAAATCTGTCATGGAAGCTGCTGGTGTCTTAGACTGATGGGTGCTCCAGTGGCCAGGCAGCAGCTGAGGCCACAAGCCTGTTGTTGTATCTGGGCAGGAGGGACGTACCTTTCAGAGGGATGTTCAGTTGGCCTGTTTTCTATGTGTTTTTCACCTCAAGACTGAAAGTGAATCTGTATGCAGTGGATAAGATGGCCTTTCTGGGGGACCTCAGCAAGGCAGGGCTGGGGAGGGTGGAATGGTGCATGCAGGCACTGGCTGCTTTGCTGGCAGCACATCAAGGGCTCGGCATTTCTCCAGGGAACACTGGCTCCGCTTGGTCAAGTGCTGCTCACCTGCAAGGTGGAACTACAAATCTTATAGCTTACTGCCATTAAGGCAGCGTTAGGGTTTGGCTGGGGTTTCAGATGCACGTTTTTCCAGTATTTGTTGGGTTAACCTCTCTCTTTTAAATGTATTTGAAATTTGAACTTTGGATTTCCAGCTGTCCTGAAATTGGGTTTGGGACTTCACAGTGATATCCTGCTTTAAATATTGTTCTGGTGGTACATCCGTGCCAACTTAAGGAAGATTTCTGCCCCAGGAGTGGTGGTGGGTTGGCCATCAGTGCTTAGCACATTCCTGTTTGTCCTGGTTTCAGCTGGGTTAGAGTTAACTGTCTTCCTAGTAGCTGGTACAGTGCTATGTTTTGAGTTCAGTATGTGAAGAATGTTGATAACACACTGATGTTTTCAGTTGTTGCTCAGTAGTGTTTAGACTATAGTCAAGGATTTTTCAGCTTCTCATGCCCAGCCAGGGCACCTGACCCAAACTGGCCAACAGTGTATTCCATACCATGGGACGTCCCATCTAGTTTAGGAACTGGGAAGGGGGGGGCAGGGATTCGCCGCTCGGGGACTGGCTGGGTGTCGGTCGGCGGGTGGTGAGCAATTGCCCTGCGCATCATTTATACATTCCAATCCTTTCATTATTGCTGTTGTCATTTTATTAGTGTTATCATTATCATTATTAGTTTCTTCTTTTCTGTTCTATTAAACTGTTCTTATCTCAACCCACGAGTTTTACTTCTTTTCCTGATTTTCTCCCCCATCCCACTGGGTGGGGGGGGAGTGAGTGATCGGCTGTGCGGTGCTTAGTTGCTGACTGGGGTTAAACCACGACACTGTTCAACCTGGGCCTGTCTGGTCGTTTCTTAACAAAAAAGTTAGAAGAGAAGTGTTTTGTTGGAATTTGCTTTTGAAAGTCAACTGCAATGGCGGTAGGTCCTCTGAAACATTTCAGGGTGTCTGTTGCTCCACCATCTCGCCACTTGTTGCCCAGCTATCACCCATTGCATGCATCTTCATTCTTGTTTTCCTACTGTCAAGAAGGTCATATCCTTCACCTAAGTGCTCAGCTGATCTGGAAGTCGTAACCCAGACAGATGTTCATCTCTCTGTGATTTCTTCTGTTCAAGTAAATAACATTGTCTGCATATGAAACGGTGGTGTCTTCTCTCCCCAAAGTACATGTTTTTTCAACTGTAGCAATTGATGTGGTTGCAGCTGAAAAGTTTCTCTAGTTACACTCATGACTTGTCCCTTTAAACCAATGCTAATTTTTTAAAAAAATTACATAACAAAAAATGTAGTTGCCAGTATTCCTTTAAAATATATTGTATTGTTGGCAGTCAGATGGAAATACCTGATTTTATACCTATTCCTCGAAATATGTAATTTCCACATAGTCCTTGGAATAGAGACACTTTTTTTTTCAGTAGGCCGGGCACAGTTTAACTATGGTCTGTTTCTTATTTTTACTGTCTAATTAGAAATGCTACTTCTTTCTAAATTATTTCACTGTTTAGAAAAGAAAGTATACACCTCTTTTCCTTATAACTTCACTAGACCTTGGCACACTCTATAGGCATCACTGATTATACCTGAAGTGTATAGTTAGTTCATCAATGACATAATGACTAACTTTCATTTGACCTTAAATCCTTGCATGCGGCATCTTTTGCTGCTGCAGCTCATTTTGCACTGTGTGATATTCATGTGAACGGTCTCATCGACTTTGGTATGACCACTTGCATAGTAAAGACTAGTCATTTGAAGGAGATCTGTAGATACAAGGCAAGTGTTTAAATTCAGGGATGTTCTGCTGATTCCTCTTCCAAAGACCAGGCTTGGGAAAAAACACATTTCTGAATGTAAGACTTGGCTCAAAGATCTTGATAAATTAACAGGGAAGAAGTTTTTTCATCTTAATTGTGCATTTGTCAGCTTTTCATAAGACATTACATGCCGTGTTTATATTGAGATGTCACCCATTTCTCTAAAAATTCTTTAATATGAAGTTTTTTGTTATTTTTCAGGTGTTCAAATGAAACAGTATTCAAAAAGGAAGACTTGTTTTGGGCATACAATTTCTGCCCCACTCCATACTCTTGGACAGCACTTCTGGGCCTTATTTTGTACTTGATTTTCTTTGCACCTGGTAAGCAAACATTTGTTTTCACATATGAGTTAAAAAATTGTAAAGGTAAAATGTCAAATAGTGAGGCTACATGTTAAGTTTACTTTTGAGTCCAGCCACTAAACTGAGGTTAATCTTTTTTCCTAATTCTTAGGGATGGGTCCTATGCCCTGGACCGTCAATTCCGAAATTTACCCACTTTGGGCTAGAAGTACAGGAAACGCATGTTCTTCTGGAGTCAACTGGGTTTTCAATGTGCTCGTGTCACTGACATTTCTGCATACAGCCGAATATCTGACATACTATGGTAAGAAACAGTATGCATTCGTATGCATAGATTTTTCTACTGATTCTGGGTTACTCTGTTGGTTTTGCTATGAAATGTCAACTGTGAATGCAGTGTTCTCAATCCACCGTGGCTTAGTAAGACTAGAGACCTGATACGACCTGCCTGGATCATAGAGTTTGGTCCAGCTTTCATAATAAACATTTCTTTCTGTCCTTAACAGAGAGCCTAGACAGTTGATTAAAACAGGGAAGCTGGAAAAAAACCATCTTTGACTTAGTGAAATATGCTGATTGCCACTTAAAGAGATAGCATCTGCAATTTTCCAATTTATGATGGCATCCAAGACCAATATCAGATGTTCCTTTCAGAAATAGCTGTGTAAGATGCTACTGCCCCACTCCCAGCTGTTGATTAAGTCCTGTCTGCTGGAGCCTGCAGAGAGTTTGTCAGATTACTGCTCAGCCACTCCAGTACACATCACTTAAATTACATTAAGCTGCTAGGGAGTTGATGTGACCTTTACACCATTACTAGTACAGAGTGTTTCAGCTCTCCTTGTCATTGCTTTGAGTCAACAGTCTAGAAACACATGGCAGGTAAATGTTTGTTGGTCCTTTGGTATCTTCTCTGCCCCCTTAGGTATGGTGGGTTGCGGGGGGGAATGAGCTCTTTCTCACCGCTAATTGTCTCTGCAGAGGACTTTCAAATAATAATTAGTTGTAAGAGTCACAAGCATTATTTTCATCCTGACTATTTCTTTTTTGCTAAAGTTTCTCATTTTGGGGGGTTGTCTTAGCGTGTCCTTTGCTGTTAAGATAAACTAAGAAGGCTCTTGCCTTTTGTATCTGCCTTTTTTTATTGGGTATGCAATTGTTTAATTGCTGTTTATTTTAACAGCAGAATGACTTGCCCAGAAAGTATGTGTATTATCTTCCATGTGAACTGAAATTGCTTTTGTTAATTTACTCCATTGCGGAATGATGCAATAAAGCGGCCTTCTACCCCCACAGCCGTGTTGTCTTAACAATGCCACTCCAACCTTTGCTTTTACACACTCCTTTGATATCTGCACCCTGCTGCTTCTGCCACTCCCTCTGCTCTGGAGCAGAGAAGGGATGCGAACTTCTGTAACCGACTATGCATATTGTTTTACATTGCAGGAGCCTTCTTCCTCTACGCAGGGTTTGCTGCCTTGGGACTGGTTTTCATCTACGGCTGCCTTCCTGAGACTAAAGGGAAAAAACTAGAGGAAATTGAATCTTTGTTTGAAAACAGGCTATGTACATGTGGTATGTCAGATTCTGATGAAGGGAGGTATATCGAGTATATTCGGGTGAAAGGAAGTAATTACCATCTTTCTGACAATGATGCTTCTGATGTGGAATAATTTTCAGCTGCTGATGTATTTAATCATTTAAAAGCCTTCTGGGGGAAAAGCAGCTCTGATGACCTCACTGCCCTGCTTCTGGTCTGGTTCTCCTTTCTACTGTCTAGTTAAAAATGCCTTCATGTTCAAAACTGCTCCATTTGGGAGGAATTTCAATATGCTAGTGTTTTCTTGATAACTAAAAGCAATGGCTTCCAAAAGAGATTGAATTCCACAATTATGTGAATTCACTGAGTGTCTGCGACACTGCACCGTCCCGAAGTATTTAGTAGGGTGCACTCTACCGGCTGAATACAGAATGGTCAGGGGTTGTCCTTGTCTTCAATACTGAAAAAAGATAAAATAAAGAGTAGCTAATCAGGAAGCAGCTGACATCTGTTGGATCCCCATCCCATACAGCTTAGGAAATAGCTCTGCTGTGCAATACAATGAATGACGAATGCATAAGCTGCTGTAATGGTAGCTATTTAAAAGGTTTAACTGATTAGGAAAATACAAACATCTGCTATATCTATCAGAGGGAACATTTCCCAAATTTACCCTAAGAGACTTTCCATTTTTATTTATTTGAGATAACAAGAGCCACACTCACCTGGGTGGAGGTTCACTAGGGTGGCGTATGTCTGTGTTACACCAGGTTATCTAGGCACTGCTGCTCTTAAGTACACACTACAGTTGGGAGTTGGTGTTTGTGAGAGAAACTGCCAAAATTAACTACCTGACAGCAGAAAACAGAGCTAAGTATGTGACCACACATACAAATGAACTGGTATATATTGCTAGGTACAATGTAGAGGCTTCAGTTAGTTGGAAAAAAATTATTTTTGTTTTCCTTTTTTGCATTTGAACGTTTGGGTTTGTGCCTAGTTTTGAACACAAAATATCATTAGCGAAAAGAAAGAAAAGGAGGGGAGAGGTTTTGTGCTGCTAAATGCACAGTGGTTGTCCCTCCTGCACCTTTTGCTCATGAATAATCATATTGCCTTCAGTTTATCTTCATATGTGCAGAGTAAATGAATCCCAGCACATTATTTCTTCAAATGCCCTTAGTCAACCAGTGTCTTGCTGGATCTAAAGAGAAATATTAGCAATGGGCAGAAGCCTACATCTCATATTAACTGCCTTACCGAAGCATTGCAAAATTGTCAAGAAAATGTCAGGCACAAAAATCAACTTGGCTGCCTTTAGCATAGTAATGAAAATATGAATGGTGTTTTATTCACCTGCCATGATTGCTTGCCTTGGCAAATTGAATTTTATGCAGCTACATAAAAATATTATGGGTTTTTTTTTCCTTGCCCTGTCCTCACCGCTTTAAGTCTTCAGAGATACGAGTTTGAAAGCATCAACAATTCAAATTCTTATCTTTGAAACATTTGCTTCATGAAAGAATGTGGAAAACCTCCTCTGCCTGTGGGCTGCCCCCCATTTATTTGGTAAAAATACATTTATTTTTCATTGTGTAAAGATTAAAAGAAGTTGTTGGGTTCATTAGCTTTTATAGATTGGCTTTGTGGGCTTTTCTTGAGTTGAAAAATACTTTGAATGTAGTATTACTATCAAAACTGAGACTGGACATTTGTTACTAAATTATTTTTATGGGATAATGTGGGGTTTTGTTGTTGTAAGTAAGTCTGACATTATGTTATCTGATCTTCTGTGGGGGGAGTTCTTACTCTCCAATTATTGACCTTCAGGCATTGGGTGTATTTTGCGTTATTTTCTTTTTTTACATCATTAGTCAAAGAAATATTTTTGGAAAGAAAACATTTTAAACCATACTTCTGTGACTTGACTGGGACTAAAAGGGGAAAGCATAGCAGACAGAGGGAATTTCAAACTGATCATTGCGAAGAGTGGCTCGACCTTGAACATCGACCTTGCGCAGTGAGAGGGCTGGATTCTCACACCTTCCATCTTGCCTCCCCTTTAAGCGCACAATATTTTTATGCTTGAAAGCACCAGCTGTTGAAAATGCTCAGGTCTCCAGACCTATCTACAAATGCACCCTCAGCGGGATGTCTCCATTAGGCTGTCACCTCTTTGAAACCTTCACCGAAGGTGCAGTACCTGAAATGATAAAAAGGGATACTTGGCACAGACAAGAACAAAATAGTTTTAAGGACAAATTGGTTTCTTCCCGAAGCCAAAAAATGTGTGTTCAAAGACCCTTATTTGGAACAGTTTTGTTACCCAGAACAGCGCGTGAATAGGTGTGTAGCACCCAACCTGTTCTTACGTGGTTGATAGGTTTAAGTGGGTATCTACTGGCTTTTGAGAATAGGGACTTACGGTTCTGATCCTCCCAAAAGCATAAGCCCACACTCACTGATACACCTATGAACGTTCCCTTGCTGGATGTGTTTTGCTGGAGCAGGGTGTAAGCCAGGGAGGGTGTCCCTGCACCGGCACAGTGTCAGTGCTGACCTCGCGCTTGTGTCCACAGGCAGAGAAAACCGCTGCTTTTATTAGGTATAACCAAAGCAGAGTGACTGGAAAGATTGCTGTCACAAGATCAGCCTCTTCTGTTTTGCAGGTAGTGCTGGGGCTTTTTAGCAGCAGCAGACCATCTCTCTCTGCCAGCCTTGTCTCATGGACGTTCTCAAAAGTGGCACTCGGTTGCATACAGCACTGGGCTCATTTTCTCACACAACAAGTTCGATCTTACTGAAAGCAGTTTTGTGAAGGTTTGCATCCCATGCGCTTTTTCTCGAGGCAAAACGATTGAAATGCACACATTTTATTCATCATTGCTGCTGGCTATGAGGGTGCAAAATATACCGGCTTCTTTATTGTCACTCCCCCTTTCCCACCCCAGAGTTGGGTTTAAGTCTTCCTTTTAGGGTTGCTTTACACCAAGACAACATGCCGTACCTTAGAAATACTGAACCTAGTACCAAGCATCACGTGTAATAAAAATGAGATCAAATACTTGAAATTAGTCTTACGCAATTAGGGTTTTATTTTTAGAATCTGTGAACATTTATAGTGTAAAGAAAATTAAATAAATGTTTCTATTTTGAAAAGATTTTTTATATTTGTGCATATTTTAAGTTTTAAGAGATTTTTGCTAAAGGTAGGCTTAGTAACATTCCAGATAAAAGCATAAAAATACAGTGTAGCTGAATAATTTCTTATGACAGGATTTTAATTTATGAAGTAGCATAAATAGTATGTCTAAGCACAATATTGTTTTATTGAAAGCTTTCTGCAGAAGATGTGAAATCATTTCTTCACAAGGACTGCACACTTAATTCAGGTATTCTGTGCATCAGGAATGCTAGAGTAATACTGCTGGTAGAGCTGGGCATATTGACTATACACAACAACTTGAGATATTTTAATTCTGATTAATCTACTGACTCTACATGTTGTGATCTAACAGCTGGTATGAAAGAAACAAGTCCTGATGCATTTTTAATCTTTTTAAATTCAATTCACATTAATTCACATCCAGTAGTTTGCTCACCATGTTGGAATTCCAAAGTGTTGGGGGGGTTGAGATAATTTGCCGCTTGTTTCTTCCCCTTGTCACTTTGTTGATCAAAATCATTTTTCAACAAGAGAAGCAAACCTGTTTTGAAAATAGACATAGAAACAAAGTAAGGCCCCAGGACACATCTGGAGGGCTGAAGTTGCATTGCTACGCGTGCACCTTGGATCTCTCTCACAGATGTTGCTACCTTGTGAATTGCAGTGACAGCCATGTCAGAAATTTTGGGACAAGAGAGGATACATCCCAAGGATCATTGTTCCAATGCCAACTTAGTTTTGCATGAGTTGGTAAATGCAGCATTTCACTGGTGTAGGAGTTAGGGTTGAGAGGGGAGAAGAAAGAAATGATGCATCAAAAGCCCCATGAAGTCATGTTTCAGTAGAGATGGGTGTTGTAGCCAAAAGGAGCAGTCTCTGAGTTGTCTCCCATGTGGGAGGAGGGTGGTGGGACCAAGGGACTGTGCTTGGTCCTGTGGATGGGAACGGGGGGGGCTGGCAGACTAAGGGGCAAGAAGCACACCAGTGCTCCTCTCCCATGCCTACGTGGAGGTGAGAACATGGCAACGGAGTTTGCAAAGCTAGTACTTTTTTCCTTGGTGAAATCTCTTTTGCCCTTCTTAGTCACCTGGGTTGAGCACTGGGGAGAAGTTTTGACTTTCAGGGGCTGCTACAGGCCCTGAGCAAGGGTCTTTCCTTCGGCCATGAGGGTGCTGGTGCAGTCCCACAGGCACGCAGTGAGCTAGTGGAAGATAGACACTGTACTTCTCAGCTTTATATCCAGCTTTCTACTTCTGAACGTCAGCGCTCTTCTAACATGGTCTTCTTGAAATTTTACTTGTACTTGCATAAGAGGCTTTGTTAGCTGAACATCACTACATGAGAAAGAGGCAGAGTCTTCACAGCACAGAGAGATCTTGGGGTAGAAATTAAGGCAGAATAGACAGTTCTGCAAAGCACTTTAAAGAATAAGATATTTGTGCACTTTTTTTCTGAAAGAGTCAAGCTAACCAAACCCATTCCTCTGCATTGGGAAGAAAATCGAGCTTTGTGTACCAGGCCAGAAGCAGATAATGCCACAATATGTGCTTTATGGCAAAATGTGTTTTTATTGCGGGTAACATTTACAGCTTACATGTAGCTGCTGCCTATAAAGTGACTCAGTCGTTCTCTGGATTTTAACAAGTCACACTTTTGTGCAAAAATCTTAGTGGTTTTCTATCGATCCTCATCGCCTTGTGTACAGTACAGTAAGCGTAATCCACAAAGTGGTCTAGGTTGTGGCAGTGTTAAAAATGTCAGCACAGTAAAATCTAGGTGAACATTGTTAAAGAAATATTGTTGTTTGTGATACTGGGGGTTAAAACTCCTTAAAGACAACTATATATAGATTTTAAAAGTCTGAAAAAAATGGCAGTTCTTATCTATTTTGTGTATGTTTTCATATAGAGAAGGAGTTTTTTATGTGCCAATAACCATCACTGTAGTGTTTTGTAAATGGGTGTTAATAGTGTTCCAGAGTTCCGTATATGAGAATATACTTTAGCCACAATGACCTGTTAGTGTGAACCAGCGGCATGTTTTTAATCTTACTCACACCTCTCAGCAGAGGTGCTCACTCGTCAGCTTCAGTAGAGCTCAATCACATCAGGGGAAGTTTGACCAGCATCAGGCCTCAAGAATACAGATTTCATCTAAATCCCCACTTTTTCACATTGTCCCTAGACAGTATGTTACATGTGAATGATCTGGCACGTGTAATTGTAAAGCTTCAACTCTGGTTCAGTTGCACTCCTCGATT